TTTTTGTAACTGCAGATTAGAGTTTTGCTTACGTGTTCGATGGTCTGTAACCGGTCCGAATAAATAACTCCGCAGCGAAGGCCTTCTTCCTTTCACTAGTAGCTAGGTAATTTATTCTCAAAAAGTGCCTCTAGTAGAAGTACCTCCAGTAGTAGTTCTATCCTGGTAAAGTTGCCTTAAATATTTGGACCAGTTATTCAGAGGCTTGAGCGTTTCCCTGATATAAATGTTTCTATCCTTGGGCGCGGCCGTCTGTACCGGAATGTCAGATACAGCCGTGTGCAGGTATACAACAGTATACCTCATTTCACCATTGTAAATGACACATGATTGCCAGGATTTCGGCACCTTTGAATTAGCGAGTTAGTGTGCAAACTACGCATACGGAAGTATGACGGTTGCAGTCGTCTAATCGACCTAGCCTGATTCTACTGTTGGCATTGAAAAACCCGCGTTGTCTCCCAGACGGTCGATTAAATCAGATGGCTGCAGACATTGGTACAGAAAACTGGGACCAACGAAAGTAAAGGAATGACGCTGAAAATGGCAATGAACTTTAAAGGGCTTATTGGCCTTAAAGTTCTCATCATAAAGTGAGATTTACCTGGGTCGAGAAAGGTTTCCTTGCTTCCGTGACCATTTGTGACCCAGTTCTCTACAGTTTTTCTACGTTAATTTTCCTGAAAAACCAAGGAATTCAATTCTGTAAATGGTGCTGGAATCATTCATTTTTAAGTAATCATTCTCTTGATAGAATGCAGATTTGCTAGTCCAAGTAAGACCTCATAATTCGATCACAGCGCCTGCAACGAATAACTGATTCCCGTTCCCTAAACATCAAGGTAAAATCGGAAGTCCATTGATTGACAGTTTGAAATGCATCTCTCCTGAAACATGGTAGTCTCGGTTGTATCTAGAAGCCTGATGCTGAAGTTCAAACAGTAACTTGGCTCTCTAGCTTCGTTATTTATTTTTTCGTAGAAATCTACTTGCAATAGATCATCGCCCTTAAGCTAAAGTAATCAGGAAACACAACACGTTTGAATATAGGCTACGTTGTTGAGTACCATAAGTTTTCACTGTTTTCCACCGCACAAGAAATCCGATGTCCTTATCATCGTTCGTTATTCCACAGGGATACGGGAAAGCCCATACAGTCTCCGCTTGCACAGGTGACAGCGAGCAAGGATGCATTATTGTGAACAGTTTGAACAAAGCAGGTCAGCAGAAGGATGCTCGAAACAAATCAGTTCGACGTCGCCTCTGGCTCTATGAAGTTCAAGCAGTCGAATAATTTTGTTTTTGCACCTGTTCCCACGAAATCCTCCGTCGCCATATTTTTAAATTGTCCATTTGTTGTGCTTTCGCGTCTTGTCTGTCGTTGTCACATGTCTTCTTTCCCCTTCAAGAGCACTGGGCGAGCAAGTCGAAAATAAACGACAAATTATTCTTCAATATCTGGTTATTTTTACAAGGTCTTATTTGGAAGGATTTAAACTCACCAAACTACTCACTACTTTATTGCGATGTGCCTTACTTTAAGGTTTGAGCGCAATAGAAGATCTTCTATATGGATCAGATTGATCAGTCCATCGATTTGGGGTCTAGAGTAGCTTTTTCAGTTCTAACTGAAATGTACTGGCGGCTAATTCCTGGCGAGGATGTCGCACCCGCATCGCTGTTCTGAATGAGCCCACCCCTTTGCGTTGGCTGGTGAACTTCATTTGTGGGCTTCAGAGGAAAGCGCGTGATCACACAACAAATTTCTGGCAACAATACTGTTAAAAGAGGAGGTATCCCATCGAAGAATTTCTATACAACCTGTCATCCGTGACTACTGACAGAAGGCGATTTCAAAACTCCTTCACGTGTTGCATTCTTACGCATCCTGACTAATTAAACTGACGTAACCAAAGTGATAGGCAAACGGGTTACAAGGTATCTAATGTTCTGAAGGAAGCGATTCATTCTCAGAATCCTACCTACCAGTGTCGAGCTTCGTGAATCACCCAGAAATGCTTATTGAGCCCAGTTTATACGGCGGGTGGTGGAAACATATATGTGCGAAACACGGATGAGTGACGTAGCTCCACGTGACGTCAACCCCCAAAGGAACCTGTTACGCTCAAAAGTGCGGTTTGTCCAAGTTACAAAAAACTGGAATAGTAATGTGGCCTAAGCAATTTTTGGCCAATACACTGCAACACATACTAGCCCAATGGCTCGTGTATATATATGGACCCGTCCGCCAACAGTTCTCTCAATCTGCAACCAATTGGTTTCATAAAAATTGATTTACAATCGATCTCTCATAGACAAAAACCCAGATCCAGTTAGCTGCAAGAATGACAGTTACATTCTGTGGTATAATACAATCATAGGCTATTAAACGTCACACAGAATGCCCTCCTAAAAGCCCATCTGGTAGACGCACTACTCAAGTTTTCGCTAATCTAATTGTTCTTCAAATTTTACTCGACTGAGAGAATACACGTAGTTCTGAGTTGAGTTGGTGTCAGCGAAAGACTCGCTTGAAGCTCTCGTTTACGCTACTCTACAAGTGAATCATCAGCACATGTAAACCACTTCAGGAGTTTTCAGCAATATCACTCGCAATATCGCTTTTAATCGTTTACTTAAACCTTTCCATCCAAAAAGTAACTGAATGTAACTCCTGAGCAGCATTGAAAACCAACGCACTCAGACGATGTCGACTCATCCGTGATGAAAATCGTTGCTCAACATATTGATCAACACCATATCCTCCTCGGTATGCGTCGTTCGAAGTGCAAAGTAATGCATCCGAACGTACAATGTCCGAAAACATCCCTTGGAATTCAAGAAGTACTGGAGGTTTTGGAGAATTTCACGCAAATCAATAGTTGTATTAGCTCAGACGATGCTGTCTGATAATGTCATTGCATCAATACCAAGGGTTAAGAAACACGTTTGCTAATTTGCATCACTTTTGGTATCAGAAAGACGTATCACTGGGCTACAACAAGGGCTAAAGCGCTGTGTGCTTGCGAGACAGATGATGTGAGGAACCCTTGGGTTTTTGACCACCAATATCTCAGAAGAGTAGCTGGTGTAGAATTATGTCAATGAATTTGTAATCAAGTAAATTGGAAGACGAGTCTTTGTTTGTGCAACACAGCCGCGGAAAACACCCGAATTCTCAGTTGCAGTGGCTTGCCACGAACGCCAAACAATCATCTGACGGAATGAGTATTGGTCTATATGCCTCCTTTCGGAGGGCGAAATTTGCTAGGTGGACAATGAATGAAAATCATCCCACGGAATGAGTATTGGTCTCCGTGCCATTTTTCGGACGGCGAAATTTGCTAGGTGGACAATGAATGACTCGGCAGAGGGGCAGGAAAAAGATGGCGAAGAGGCTCAGTGTTTGTGGTACCTCCTCTCTGATGAAGTCCAGTCTTCCTTGTACTTGGCTAAAGAGGGCAACAAGTGGCAACCAGCTGATATCAGTAGCTCTCATGCTATCGATTTACTTGCGGTTGTCTGATAGGGATTTTTAAGGTGTATGCACCCCAGAATGCTTGTACTAGGCTAGAATCAGGTCACCTCCCTCACATATCCTTTTCCGTTTTTACCATTGTAGTGCTCTGACTACAATCACAAAGTTTGTCGCATCAATTTGGACACTGATGTTGCTTTCTCCGATGGTGTTTATGAGGCATATTGTTCGATACTTATGCCCTCAAAACGACATGACCTCATTCTGTCCAGCCAATGGTCGAAAAAAGTGGATACAGCCATTAGCCAAGACGTGGCCTTTCTCGTCTTGGCAATTTGCAGGACAGTGGATGTGCGTAGCCGGGATGCAGCTATAGAACAATACCAAATCAGACTTACAAAGCAGAAATACAACCTAGGTACCTCACCAGAGTCAGGACAAACCAAGATTAGGGTAGCCAGTTTCGATAGCCCCCCCCCACCGTCAAATTACATAAAGTAATTTATAACAACGATTAGTGTAACGACATCCCTTGTGGATGGTATGATGAGAGATAAATAAGTCTATTGTTGTCTCAAAAACTAGTTTCCCTGGACAACCACCAAATTGAGCCGAATTGTCACAAGATGTAAATTTCTCAATTCGCACCGTAACAAGAATTGTTACAGTTGGGTTACGAATTCATTAGGGAGAAAACTCCTAACTCCGGCATTTGGACGCTCTTTATTAGCCAACATTTTAGATTATATCGCCGAAACACACCACTCATAATTAACGAATATACACTCATTTGCAATCTAATTTGGTTTTTCGAGAGACTCACCTGGAACCCGACTGAATCTCTCGTTTGCGATGTTCTCAGGCAACTGAATGTGCTGCACCAGGTCGCCTCATGTTTCAGTCGCTACGATATTCGAGATATCGCGATACATGTATATCTTTCTAATGAGTATCGTAGCGGCTGAAACATGAGTTGGCCGGGTGAAGCATATTCAGGTGAAGTAGGATATCATAAACGATAGATTCAGCTGTCTCAAGTGAGAACCAAATTGGCATACAAATGAGTGTGTTTCGCTTACATCACCGAAAGTTTGTGCGCATGGCATTAGACACAGCTAGATAACATCTTAAACAAGAAAATGATAACGCAACATTTCACAAAAGTCCAACAATTTGAAAGTTTGGAGCCCTGTTTTGCAGAGAGTGGATCATTTTTGACGCAGACTTTTGATGAAATTCTGAAGCGTATCCCACAAAACTCAGGCTTCTTTTCATTATTCTGTGCGTCTGAGTTGCTAAAAAATGAAGCAACTGACCAGGACGCTGATTGTCCCTTAAATGAATGCACGCAGAATGAGTTGAGGGCATATTCTGATAAAAGATTGCATCTAACCGATTTCAACGTAACCACGCTCTGAAATCAGTGTATTCCAGTCATGTTGGTTTCATCACCCCAGTGACAAGACTGTCTTCCCCCAGTGGATGAAATGCATTTTCGAGACCAAAAGAAGTGTGATCGTAGTAACAGCTTACAGACTGGACTAAGTTGATGGATTTCGAATGTGCCTTGTGGTGACCGGATTTTGGTGTCTGTCTGTTCGTTTCCGAATCCTTAAACTTTCCGACATCTGTCATAAAACTCAAACTGCTTTAACTTTCGGACAGGAAGAGCTGTAAGGACTGACCCTCTCTGGTATGGAATTCCGTGCAGGCCAGTTCATAAGCCAGTGCTGGGCTCATCCGGAAAGCTAACGTCATCCTGTCATGTCTTGTGATCAGTCTCGTTGAAATAGCGTGTCTCCGATCTTTGTGACAGTTTGAGCCGAGGTCAATGCAACGGCTGACAAAAGGTTAGGTCATTTGGCATGCATGTACAGGTCAGGTTACGGCAAACACGAGGTGTGGAACCGAATACAGTCATGTGAATGTCTTGCTGCTTTGACTAATCTCAACGTCACATCAGGTTTTGGCACAACCCTATATTGGGCCTATCCAGCAATTGATTCGAAGATATTGATTATGTACTGATTATTGGTTATGTGCTGAAATATTAGTGGGTCATGTGATTTTATTGGTTGCTGACCGTTGTTGGTCTGTTCACCGAGCTCGGTGTTTACGATGGCGTTACGGTCTTGTTAGGTCTGAAGAAAGAGGAAACTAGTTACCTAAAGTTAGAGTGTTAGACTCCTTTCTGTTGAGTTACTCATGGCACTGACCCCCCTTACACTTTCGCATCGTCGGGACTACCAAGCCTTTAACCCAGTGTGCCAATCATCCAGTCCGCAGGTTTCATTTTCATCTGAGTGTTCACATGTATGCACTTGCTTTTCGTGCACAGACGATTACATAGGGCGCTTTCGGCTTCGCTCCGTCCCGACCTTGTGACGGATATGGGCTTAATCTACCTGCCCCGCGAGCATGATAGCATGTCAGTCCAACTGCACCCGGTGTATATGGCGGTGGAAGAAGGCCGCCTGAGCTGGAGCAAGAGGTTTGCACCGAGTACGAACAGATGAACATAGTTGAGGATATCGACTGCACGGTGGTGGCCTCTGTGAACTGCGTGGGAAGTAAAGATGCGACACTGGCCTCTATAGTATTGGCAAAGGAGCTTTCCATTGGAGCGGTTGTACGTGACATGAATCATGCAACCTTGTTGACTGCCTTCTCACAGAAAATTATCTGTGCAATAGCAGCGTACTTAAACTTGGACTTATTATGACAATCGGTTATACACGTTTAAACAAAATATTTTATGTCCCCCCAGAAAACTTGAAGTGCAGTTTGCTCTTTTCAAAGTCTAGCTCACAGTTATAGCCAGAAACTATCAATGCCTACGTTCATCGAGGGAAATTTGACAACTCACTGAATTATTCCACCGACTTAACACAGAATAAGCGAAAATAACTTGCTGCACAAATCAAAATATGAGCAGTCTGGGGAT